AATTTTCTTTCATCTCTGACACTTCTATTATAGAGAAAGGGCAAATAGCAGTATTAAAATATTTCCTCTAATTAATTCCATTTCAATGTGCATGAATTCATGTACCGGGCTACTAATATATATAATATATATATATATATTTCACTCTATTTCCTTCGCCTGAATATATTACCCTTATAAAATAAGTCATTTCTGAAATTCTTTCTACAAAACAGATATGTTAGAGATTTGAAGAGATTTACACTTTAATCTCTTGACTGGATAGATACTTCAAGCTATTGTTTGTTTTCTATGCTGCCTAATTTAATAGGGTTTGCTTAACATGGTCCCTGGGAGCTTTGAAATCAACATCCCATTGAAAGTGAGAGGAGAATAGTACAATTAATTTGAAGTATATCTCTCTATCCATTTGTTTTGGAATTAGGTAAGAGTGAGAAGAAGGAAATGACTTCTTCCAAAAAACATTAGAAACATCAAAGTTAGGATACATATTAAATAGATGTGTAAAGTTAAATATGTATTAAATAAACATATTTAAGTCAGTTTTTGAGAAATATTTACAAAACCATGTAATCTCTGCCTTATTTATAAATATTGAATAAAGATTTGTCCCATATTTGAGAGCAACTTTGATATTCTCTCATAAGATTTTATAATACTAACTAGAGGCTTGATGCATGAAATTCATGCAAGAGAGTAGGCCTTCCTTCCCCCGGCTGCCTGCACTGGCTTCCCTCTGGCACCCGGGACCCGGGCTTCCCTCCGGCCCCGGCTTCATCAGGAATAATGTCCGGTCTAATTAGTATATTACCCTTTTATTATTATAGATTCTCAGATATGATGATAAAGTATATTTCACATTAATATGGTACACAATTAATTCCTAAACGTTTTCCAAAATACTGCTCATATCATGAAAATCTCACTGATTCATTTTCAACAATTGTCGACCTTACCACATGTATACTGCAAAGTCATGACCTAGGTATGAAAAACAGCTGCTATTGACTGAATGTTGACTATGTAGCAAGCTCTAACTTTAATCTTTACATAACCTCTCCTACCTCATTTTGCAGATGAGGAAACAAGATTAGATAGGAAAAATAACTTCCTAAGATTACATACCTGTTTTGTGCCCAAGCCAAAATTCCAGCTCAAGCAGTTGAACTCCAAATCCTCCCTTTGAACCATATTCTCCTCGAGGTCTTGTTAAGTTAAGCTCGAACACAACCAATTATAGTGTAATAGATACTAGCAGTTGACATTGGGTTGATATTGAGGGCACTGAGAAAGGGCTGCTAACCCTTCTGGATGGGAAGAAAGTAGATGCTTCTTGGAGTAGATAAGCTGCAGTTCAATTGGGTTGACTGATTAGAAACAGGGAAGGTATTCTAGACACAAGTAACACATAACAGGTTCAAAGTCAGAGACGTCAAAGAGCACAGCACATTCAGGGAGGGGCACTAAGGGGCATAAGAACAGGTTGCAGTGATGGGTGGAGGCGTGGGAAGGGGCCTGCTATGGGGACATATACAGGATGTCAGTGGTTTTCAGATTTCAGTGTGGTAAGGATCACGTAGGATGACTATTTACAATGAAAATTGCTGAACCCAAATTTATCCAAGAATCTTTCTTATACAGATATACTCAGGAATTTAGTTTAACAGGAATACTAGATGATTACAATGTAGAAGAGTCTGTTTGCTAACAGTGTTAAAAATGTCTGGAAATTGCTTTGCTGGTGTGGCTCAGAGGTCGAGTATCAACCTATGAAACAGAAGGTCACGGTTCAATTCCTGGGCAGGACATATGCTCTGGTTGTGAACTCAATCCCCAGTTGGGGGCATGTGGGAGGCAGCTGATCAGTGATACTCTTTCATCATTGATGTTTCTACCTCTCTCTCCTTTTCCTTTCCTCTCTGAAATCAATAAAAATATATTTTTTAAATGTCTGGAAATCAATATGCCGGAGCATGGCATTGTTAATGTCTCTGTGTTTTAGAAAAAAACAACACAGCAGCTCAGTGGAGAGAGGAAGTTGATCTCAAAAGTGATTTTTGGTTTATTTTGAATTCAGAAATAACATAAAGGTGGTTTTTCTTAATAATTTATAGTATACACACACTCTTTTGTTTATAATTGCTTTTGGGTGCTATTTAGATTATATTAGGTTATAAAAAAATGCTAAAAAAGCAGCATTCAGTTGTGTTAATTTTTGTTATTGTTGTTAATCTTTACCTAAGGAAGATTTTTAGAGAGTGTGGAAGGAAGGGGAGAGAGAGAGAGAGAGAGAGAGAGAGAGAGAGAGAGAGATCCATTGGTTATGTGACCTTGACCAAATTGAACCCGAGACCTTTTAGTGCATGGGCCAAAGCTCTATCCACGGAGCCAAATCAGCTGTGGCAGTTGTGTTAATTTGTAAGGCACTGTAAGCTACAGAATGCATGAGCATTTCAAACCAAATCTTATTGGTGTTTGCCATTGTCAATCCTTCCTACCCTGGCAATTAGTAAACTGCAGATCAATTAATAGAGAATCAATTGTGAATAAATGAATAAATTGCTTAATTGAATCACATATTTTCAGTAGAACCTAATTTCACATATATAACTGGGGGACCATCTAATAAATCAAGCAAAAATGCAGTGCTTCTGTACTTTTCCCTGGGATTGATTTAACCATTTAAAGAACTAATTACTTAAGATAAAGTTTCAGTTGACTTATAAATTTAAGATCTACTACAATCTTGTAATAAAATAAGGTAAAAGTTGTTATTTGCCATTGTCTTTGAATACATTTGCCATACAGTATGTAAAAACAAACTTCATTTAAAAATGATCTATTCCATTTTATTATTTGTAGTCAGGTGGCTCCCCAAAATCTTGTTATTGTAGAAAATCGATATATCCCCATCTTGCAAAACACAATGTCAGTATGTATATTTTTCTGTACTTAAACAAACTTGAAAGGCAAAAGGAACAGGAGGGAACAACCATCTAACTCAAGTGGAATTAAATAGACTCTAAATGTTAGATTTTCTTTGCATAACCAGAGATGGCCTTGACCAATTGGGGATTCTCAAAGTTAGCGTGCCAGGTCACACACTGATATTTATTCCACACTTATGCTCATTCAACACAGATGGTAGGCATAAAATAGCTGAGCTCCAATGAATCATGTCTGGGCAGAATGATAGATATGGTGTGTGTGTTTTTTTTATGTTGACAGTAGAGTTGTTTTCACATTCCACTTGAATTAAATTATGCTCATTCATGCCATAGTGCATAATCTCTGGCAAAGATTCTTAGAAAAAGTCATCATGTGGACCCACTGCAAAACAAGTGGGAAAGAATAGTAGCACTATAAGCCCCATAAGGAAATTTAAGACAAAAGTTGAATAGTCTTCATTTATTTTTTAAAAATATTTAAATATCTTTAGGTTAACATTTATTAGTATGGATTCATATATATTGTATGCAAATGACTACATAGATATTAAATTCAGGAGCAGTTTAAGTCTTTAATCTTAATAAACTGACAAAAATACTTTGAATTTCTAATAAGAAAATAAAATCATGTGTCAGCCATATTAGGTGTGATCATATATGACACTGGCCATAACTTTAAAATGTTAACAATCAAGTTTGGTAAATAAGGACATGACATTTTGTATAAAGAAGAAAAGTTACATAGTAAAGTAAGATGTGATCAATAGCAATTATGAAACTTTATCAGAATGGGCTCTGGAGAGTAATTTTTGTGTTTCTTAAAAAAAATCAATGGACTGTAGCCAGAGGGCAGAAAATTATTCCAGTCGAGGAAGAAAGAGTGAACAAAATCTTACTAGCCCAGTGCTTGCTCAAGGGGCCATTTTAGATATGACCTAATCATAGTGTTGTTAGGGATTCCCAAGAACACACTCAGATTGAATGACTCAGCAGAAGGACTCACAGAACTCAGAAAAGCTGTTATACCCCAGGCTGCCATTTTCTATAGCAAAAGGATTGAGATGAAAATCAGCAAAGGCGAAAGGCACTGAGGGCAGAGTCCAGAAGAGAAGCTTCCGGTTGTCCTCTTCCAGTGCAGTCGTACAGACAGCACTTCTTCCCCAGCAGCAATTTGTGAACACACAGCATGTTCTGCCAACTGAGGAAACTCATCCAAGTCTTGGTGCCCAGGGTTTTTATGGAGGGTCAGTCACGTAGGTATGAAATTCCCCATGACTAACCTTATCTCTAGTCTCCAGCCCCCACAGAGTTCAAACTGATAGAGCATGGCCCAGCGCTCCAGGTGAATAAAACAGACATTCACCATAAATCATATTGTTAGCATAAACTATCTTGCATTTATCCAACAGGATAGTCCACAGGCATTATCTCCCAAGGGCTGGTTATTTCTTTGGAATGTGTGGGTTGAACACCCCGGACCTGCTGAGTTAACCCTTTACAATACAGTAGAGTTTCTATGACTATGAGTCTCAAATTTTAAAACTTAAGAAAAACAAATAAAAAGATCTGATATTCTGAAAAAATGACACCTGCAAAATATTTTTCTATATCCACTTGTTTGGATGATGAGAACAGAAATGAGGAAAACCAACTTCTCAGAATAGCAATTGGCCTTACCTTCGGGTTGGGAGCCCAGTGTCCTGCACAGTGGAGTGGGCCTCAGGGGAGTCATTTGTAGCCATGTTTGACCCAATCAGATAACCACCTGGGAGTGAGTTGTTCCCCAGAACACTGTTAGTACTTTATGGCTGCTCCAATCAGCAGGTCTGCAGAAGAAAGCTTGTTGTGCTAAACTGAAAATTTGAGAATTACCTACTTACCGATCTCTTTCTTTTCATTTTTGCTCCTCACTCTGCACCCTTACTTCTTTTTCTGAACTGCAATGTGGTCTTCTCTGAAGATGTTCCAGTGGCTTTGATCGTCATCGCCAGGACTGGGTGGACAGTGGATGCCCTGAAGAGGTACACATGTTCTTTATTATGACAGGATTTGGGGAAACAAACTGTTATATATAGATGCTATAACTTAATGAAAATGCTATCTCATTTGGTAAAAGTAGACAGCAGTTGAGTACCTTATATGTGCCAGACTTGGGGTTTTACTTCTAAATCTTTGCATGTATTTTCTCAATTTATTCTTATACCCATTCTGTGAGGTAGGAGCTATTATTGCCCCCATATTACCAAGAGGAGAAGAGGGAGGGGTGAGGGGAAACGGTGGGGAGGGATGTAGTGAGGGTATCCAGAGTTGGGTATGTGGATAGGGAATAATAGGACCAGGATTTGAATTTCTATGAGCAAAGGATAGTTCTCTTAAACACTTGCTTGCTGCTTTTCTAAGATCTAGGAAGTCATTTTTCATATTTTTCCACTCAAATTATAAAGCCAGTGGTATGAAGGAAAAGATTGCAGCAAATTGGACTGATAGAAGTTAAAAATGATATAACATAGAAACAGTAACTCCCAGGCGAACGTGATGGAGACAATGATGCAACGAAGCAATTCATATAAATGTGTACAGTTGCAGAGGCAATTTGAACCTGTTCAACAGTTTTCTAGTGAATTGCATTTACATTGTCATTTCAGGGTCACATAAAGATATTCTGTAAAAGAAATCTATGTACAAAGAAAATTATGTTTCTTCACCCTTTAAGTTTTAGGGTATGAATTTTGAATAAAAACAATGAACAGTTATACCATTTTTCTTATCAGTTAAGCAAATCCTGTCAAAGAGCTACTTCGAGGAAGAATGCTGATTTGTAAAGAAAAAGAATTCTTGCTGATGGCTCTTTTATTTAAGAAATAAAAGATGAGCCCATGAGATAAAAATGGGAGAAGCATTATGGGACTGGAGTTTTTAAGTAGATTGAAGAGGGTTTGAAATTTATACTTAGGGTAATGGGAGAAGAGGTTAGCAAAGCAGGCCATTGTTGCCAAGCAGCCTAAAAGACACTGTTGAGGATACAGGAGGTAAGTTTTCAGACCTCCCTGGGGGGGGGGGGGGGGGCGCTGTGTGGTTTTTCTCCAGCTGTGCCTGAGCAGTCAAGGAAAAGATAGATTTCTTTAAAAACAACAACAACAACAACAACTATTGATGATTTTCTGTAAAGGTGATGTGGAAAGAAGAATAAGGTAAAGATGCATGATATTATTGAAAAAGAAGATTAGCTGAAAATAGAGTAACTGGAGTTATTATTCCAGAAGTAAAGTATTTTCAACCTGAATAAGGTAAAGATGCATGATATTATTGAAAAAGAAGTTGATGTGATAGAAAAAAAAGAATATATAAAGGAAGACAATAACCCTATGTAATCACAGGATAAGAAGAATCTGAGTGAACAGGTACATAGATTAGCTGAAAATAGAGTAACTGGAGTTATTATTTCAGAAGTAAAGTATTTTCAACTGCAGATAAGGTCCAGGATATGGAGATGATAACTAAAGTAGAATCAAGAGATGATCATGAGATCTTTGGGGCTGAGAAGATATAGGAACTAAAATTAGGGGAATTGAATGGGTCCCAGGGATGATAAAATATAGAATAAACCTGTGTCATATCCAATTAGTGAAAAGGAAGCCATCTCAGGAACTCATTCTAAGCAGTAGTAAAGTGCATTTACTTCACTAGTGACAAGAGAAGTTTAAGAGAAGTATTTATTTAGTAATAAATTCAAATGTGGGAGGAGTGCCTTCCATGTCAGAATAGTTATCATCTGTTTCCTCAAGGCCTATCTGAGGGATGGAGTTCTTTGAAGCGCAAAGAGGTGGGGAGAAATACCAACTTCCAAATCATAAAAGTTTGAATGTTGAATATTGCTACTGCTGAAAGGTATAGGATTTATTTTCATAGACTACAACATGTGCCTTTCCCTGGTGTCCCCAGTAAAGCTCTGCTAGGGAAATGATAGGTTAAGTGATAAAGGAGGGTTGCTCAATCCTTCACTTGGGTGGTTTCAATATTTCACAAAGGGAAACACATTTTAAATACCCATTCAATCTGTGGGGGATTCTTGTTAAAATAGTAGTAGTATGGATCAGTCACCAAATTTTTAGAATTTGTCATTATCAGTTTGATATGGAGAGAATGCATTTTTTCTTCACATACCTAAGTATGTTTTTAACCTTATCTTCATGGGCATGTTTTTCTTCTTGTATAACCTTTTCCTTTTTGACATCATGTCTTTTACACATATACTGACATAAAATTTAGAGTAAGATTAACAGCAGTATTATGTAAACAGAAAGGTTATCAGCAGAAAATGATGAAATTCAAATTTCCAAAGATGGAAGTGCTTTTTTACATCCAATTTATTCTCTCATCTATTTTACATACTTTGTAAATTAGCAAATCCCTAAATATAGTTCTGTACAAAAGTGTAGCCCTCATGTTGATTCGAGAGTCTTTTGTGATTTACAGACCAATTTCTTAGATGTAATTTTAAATAACATATGATCACTCTTAAATTGCTTTCCCATTTGTTTCTCTTATTAGTCAAAAGAGAAGATGTGTGAGACTGTGGAGCCAGTGGAAAGTTCTTCTCAGACCACCACAACCATGCAAGCAACTACTGTACTATTTAGGTTCTTAACAACCACCAGAAGAGCAGCAACATCCCAGCTGCCCACCAGCCTGCCCACAGAAGGTGCAAACTCAGGGTGTTGACATGGACTGGAGTTGTTCTTTAGAGGGAATTTTTATTTTATTTTTTTTAGCAAATTGGATTTCTAAAGGGGAAAAGACAAAATTATTATGGAATAAAAATATGTGCTAGGATTCTTTTAATGTACTTTGCCTTTCAATAGTGGCTTACTTGTCCTCCCTAGAAAAGAAGTATAGACTTCCTCTCGTATTACTAAACTTTGAAGTAACTGAATTCCACATTTTAGACAGTATATGAAGGCAAATTTATATAAAATATTCATTGATTTTGGATTCTGAACAATACATAATTCTACTCATTTGCAATTCTAATATTTGCCTGAGTACAATCAATAAAATATGTTGTTCCATAACCTGTAGAGGCCACTATAAATGTCACAGAAATTATCCGTGGGAAACGTCACCTCTGCCAGGGAAGAGAAACATGCCAGAGTCCATTAATGCACGGATACAACTCACTGGGGGAAGAGGAATATTAGCCAAAGTTTGTGAATATTCTGGATGGTACCACTAAAGAGAAATGTGAGACTAGTTCGCCAAAAGTAAGCTTTGAGGGGAGAAAAATGGTCTCACTTCTCTACTGTACTAAACCTTGCTTTCACTTGAATAAGGAATTAAACTTGAAGCCTTTGCTTTTCATTGAAATTTACTTGGATATCAAAAATTAACTGGAATAAAGTAATAGTGAGGAAGAGGACAACTATTAAATACATGTATTTAGATATTTAACACCAATGTTATATTTATTTTAATCCAAATTATTTAGGTTGAATATAGCCTGTGAAAATATTTTCGCAATTTGAATCCTACCCTGTGAAATATTCCTACAATTTGAATCCTACCCTATAAAATAAAATATAACCACTGAAATAAAAAAAGTATGATCTACATTTTGTCCTTTAAAGTCAAGATATTTTTCATGTGAAGTTGGATATATTGATTAGCAATGAATAAGCATTTAACTTTTGAAGTTAAATTTGTAAATATTGGCAAATCATTACTACAATTAATTTGAAATTTTCTTGATCTTAATTTTTAATGAATAAAAAAGGTCATACTATAAAGTCTAATTACAATTACTCATTTTTGAAAATTAAAAATACGTGTATTTTAAGTTACATTTATAACAATGTACTTTTCTCACAGATCTTAAGAATTATATGATACTCGATTAAGTCTTGATTTCATGAAGAAATTTTAGTACTACATCATGTAAGCTAGCACTTGCTCTCATTGAACAAGAAATTAACTCACTAAAGTGTTAAAATCTATTCACATTATCATTAAAACATTAGTATCATTAAAACATTAGTGTACAATTATTGCTCCTGAGATTTATGTACTTTTAATTTTTTTCTGTTGTAATAACTTTGAGTTTCTCTTTCAGATGATACCAAGATAGCACTGCATCTAAAAGATAATGGAGGTAGGAATTAACACTTTTTCTTTTATAAATATTTTTGGATACTAATCCATTTCATTCATTTTAATCCAAGAAAGGACTTTGGAGTTTCTAAATATAGAGTGAGGTTACATTTCACTTTCTGTTGGTATTTTACAAGAGAAGAATTCAATGTGTTGGCTTGAAAAGTAAAATGGTTTCAAGAGTAGAAAGAAATTCCAGTCCTTCTACTATGAAAACTACAAGGCACAAATGACCAATGAAAACTGTGTATGCTGTGCTTCATTGTTTTGGTGTATGTAGTATTGGGATAATAGCAAGGATTAAGATGGAGAGGATTAAGGCTAATACACCCTGCACATCTCCTATTCGTTGTTGCTCAGTTCAGGGGTGGGGAACCTTTTTTTCTGCAAAGGGCCATTTGGATATTTATAACATCATTCTCAGGCCATTCAAAATTATCAACTTAAAAATTAGCCTGCTATATTTGGCCAAATATTTAATTAACTCACCCCTAATGCCATGGTAGGGCCAGACCAAATGATTTTGAGGGCCTTATGAAGTCTGCGGGCTGGCCGTCTCCACCCCTGCTCCGATTCTTGATTTAATTGTGTATGTGATTTTCTACCCAGAGCAGGTATTAAGTTCAATTGTGTGTGCTTTTCTTTCACTAAATTGAATATTCAATATCCTTTATAAATAAAATTAAGAAATAAAACAATGTGGAAATATATTGTGTTAGGCCTTTTTATCTTTTATCTGAAGCAAGACACAAAAATTAAATATGCAAGAGAACATTTAGCTAGAGCATACTTAAAGTGCGTCTAAGTCAATTTAGAAATATCTATAATGGTACTTGAAAATTTGAGGAAGAAAGGTTTTACCAAAACAAGGCTGTAAAAAATATTGACTAAAATTTTAAAAATAGTTTTTTCCTTATTAAACTTTGTTAGCTCATTGTGTTTCTTTATCATAGTATGCTGGATCTTAAAAGAGATTCTTTATTAGTAACTGTTTATTCAGCTCAGGAAAAGGGTCTCCTCCTCTTCTTAGCAGCATCTATTATATAAATGTGGCCTGCTGTAATATTGATCTAGACACAGTTTTACTTGTGTAGCCCCAGGTGATTTTGTGAGTTTGTCAAAATTGTTAGGATATTTTTCTCTATAACTGTACAGATGGCTCCTAAATTACTTAGTCTAGGTTAAGTTGCAAATATATATATATGTTTTCTTAATTATGTGTTCTG